CCTCCTACACTGCTGGTGGGAATGCAAGCTGGTGCAACCACTCTGGAAACCAGTATGGAGGTTCCTCAAACAGTTGAAAATAGAGGTACCATACGATCCAGCAATTGCACTACTGGGTATTTACTACAAAGATACAAAGGTAGGGATCCGAAGGGGTATGTGCACCCTGATGTTTATAGCAGCAAAGTCCACAATAGCCAAACTGTGGAAAGAGCCAAGATGTCCATTGACAGATGAATGGATAAAGAAGAGGTGGTATATATACACAATGGAATATTAGGCAGCCATCAAAAGGAATGAGATCTTGCCATTTGCAATGACCTGGATAGAACTGGAGGGTGTTATGCTGAGTGAAATAAGTCAATCAGAGAAAGACATGTATCATATGACCTCACTGATATGAGGAATCCCTAATCTCAGGAAACAAACTGAGGTTTGCTGGAGTGGTGGGGGGGTGGGAGGGATGGGGTGGCTGGGTGATAGACATTGGGGAGGGTATGTGCTATGGTGAGTGCTGTGAATTGTGCAAGACTGTTGAATCACAGATCTGTACCTCTGAAACAAATAATGCAATATATGTTAAAAAAAAAAAAAAGAAGAAGATAGCAAGAGGGGAAGAATGAAGGGGAGTAAATCAGAGGGGGAGATGAACCATGAGATACGATGGACTCTGAAAAACAAACTGAGGGTTCTAGAGGGGAGGGGGGGGGGGGATGGGTTAGCCTGGTGATGGGTATTAAAGAGGGCACATTCTGCGTGGAGCACTGCGTGTTATGCACAAACAATGAAGCATGGAATAGTACATCAAAAACTAATGATGTAATGTCTGGTGATTAACATAAAAATAAAAAAAAGAACATTAAAAAAAAATCAGTTCTGTTGTGATAAGCTTTAATATCCACAAAGGAGTCTTTTTTGGCTCCTGAAAAATGGAGCTGAAGAGAGAAAGCCTCTCACTTCAGGGGCACATGTCATCTGTAAATTCCATTTCTTCATCTCTACTACAAGCAGTATAAAGCTGAACTCAACTAGTCTTGGGAAAGTAATTTCCTGCCTGTTTTTCTTCCCAGTAAAGCTATAATGCAGAACCAAGCACTGTAAACTCTTCTCTCCATTTTTACTGTATGCTGTTCCTCACCCGGATTGTCAAGCTAATTGCTGGATGTTGATGGAACATACCAGGAGGACATGGCTGACAGCAGAATTTGCTCTCACGTTGCAGGCCTTCCAAGCACCCAGCCTCCCTTATGGTTATGTTCTTGCGCCATCTCAACACCTTGGAGTTGATAGCAGTTGCTTGAGCATTAACACCTCTAGGCCATGGTCCCGCGATAGAGGTAAGTATCTGTTAAAGAAAAGCATGAGGAGAATTTTATTGACTTCCCAACTAGACAACGTGGACCACAGGTGTAAGCTGCCTCAGATGGCTATGTTTGCGGTTGCATAGGCTAAAAGCATGGGGCTCCGTCCTTCTGCTCACACATCTCCGGAAAAGGAGGATGCTGATTACGTGATAGTCCAAACTACTCCAGAAACAGCATCATGGATGGTAGGAGCCAGGGCCCTGGCCTCAAAAGCAAACCCTCACTCTCACTTACCAGCCTTGTCACTGGGTGAAGTCACTTAAATTCTCCAAGTCTCTGTTGTTTTATCTATAAAGTGGAAATCATCACCTCTTCATGGGTTTGTTGTGACCATTAAATGCACGTAAAGCTCTTAGCGCAATTTCTGGCACATAATAAATAGGTGCCCCATGAATGGTATTATTCATTTATTAATTATTATTATTGTTATCATCACAAAGTTCTAGTGAGGAACAACATAGTCAAGTAGGCAAAACCATGAAATTTCAAAATGACTACAGTGTGAATCCCAGTTCTGTTGCCAACACGGTGACTTTAGGCAAATTATAGAACCAACTGACCCTCAGTTGCCTGACCTGTAAGTGCCAATAGCAGTTTCTGTCTTGGAAGGGTTATTATGAGGATAAAAAGTGATAACTTCTCCCAAACTTGGTACTTAGCTTATAGCATGTTCTATTTCTTCTCTTTTTATAGGTAGCCGCAGAATAAACAATTTTGGTGAAATCCTGTCTGGTTAACCAAGCATACAATGAATCTCATGGGATTTTCTTCACCTTTGCTCAGAAAAAAAAAAAAAAAGAACTTCTTTTAGTGGAGAACCAATCTTTAATCTATTTGGGGTTCTTTTCTTCTGGAGGTAAAAGTGATAGCGGTCTAATTGATATCGTGTCAGAATTATCTCATGAGTTATAGACTAGAATTACTTAGAAAAATGAGCCCTCTAAAATGTATGGAAGCATTTGGGGATGATCTCTGATTGATTCTTTTCTCTGGTTTCCTATTTTTTTGTCTCTCTAACCATAAGTATAAATAGTCTGTCATTTTAGGTAGAATATGTAAATTCTATTGCTAAACATCAAAGAAATCTAAACTATTAGTACTGAGGATTTTTCTTAAGGTCATTGTTCACAGTTTTCACCACATACGTTATTTTTTTCTCCTTTATGGTATAGTAATAATACTGGCATCTTCTGAGTCAAGGGAACTAAGTGTTCATCATGTGGAAACCACTACCATGGAAGTCTCTCCCCAGGCCTTCCAGCCCTTCCGCCGTTGTCACCCAAACCTGTATCCTTGTCAGGTCACAGGATATGATGGGACCCCCAAGAAGGGAGGGCTGAGGGAGACGTGGCTGCCCACTTTTCCTCCTGGGACGGACGTCTTTAAAAATGCATCCCTAAAATTCAGCCTTTCAAGAGGGAAAATGACACCAAAGCATCAAGAAAATATCCCACTTAACCAGGGACATGCACCGGCAAAATGCAGAGCTAGTGCTTATCCGAGGTTCCAAACAACTTTCATAGTGTTCTTTCCCTACAGCCAAGAGACAGGTGAACTTACCAGGGGCTATATGCTCTCTCTTTCAATATGAATAATTCTACGTATAGAACACCTGAAACTGGTACCCAGATCAGAGGAATAATGTCTAAATATGCTGGCTTCAGTGCCTCTTCAACCCAACAGACATTTCTTGAGCACCTACTATGTGCCAGGTTCTGAGACTACAAAAGACAAGTAACACTGATTGTAATAGGAAGGGAATATTAAGTTTCTTTGAACTTAAGAACTTTGAACAAAAGGTCTTTATTAGCATCAATCTCTCTTTTCATGGCGACAGTGCCCCACTTCTTACTTTATCTGCAAGGAATTCTCTTATCCTGTTAATATCAACTCCTCTTCTAGATCAGAGAATAATAGCTAATGCGTAGTAACTGAATTGGGCACGCTAGGAAGTAATAATGTAATGGAAAGCATACCAAAGTGTGAACTACTAAGACCGGAAGGACTTTCAAATGAAAATCCTTCAAATTGTTAGGATCCTCATTCCATAACTATCTCGTTGTTCTATCAGGGATTACGCATACCGGCCAGCTAGGATTCCAGATATTGCCAACATATGAAAACTATAAAAAAAATCTCTCCAGGGGTGCCTGGGTGGCTCAGTCGGTTAAACATCCAACTCTTGGTTTCGACTCAGGTCATGATCTCAGGGTCCTGGGATCAAGTCCCACCTCGGGCTTCACACTCAGCAGGGAGTCTGCTTGAGATTCTCTCTCTCTTTCTCTGCCCCTCCCCACCATGCTGTCTCTCTCTCTCTCTCTCAAATAAAATAAATCTTAAAAAAAAAAAAAATCTCTCCATAGTTGGAAGAGACCAGTGAGTCCTGTTTGCAACAGATAATGGAAAACTGAACCTAAGCAACCCGACTGAGTAGAAGCAATTCTTTTCTATTGTCAGCCACCCCCACTGCTGTGAAGAGGGGGTTAACAGGGAGATATTACTTCTTCTCCTCTTTCAATTCTGGTGTCTCACTAGAAACTGAAGAAAATGTAACAGGTTTAAACTCAGAAGAGATTGATAGGGATCGAGCAGGCCAAAAATGACCAGTGGAAAAAAGCACAGAAAGTTGACACCCAATCCTCTGTGTGTGTGTGGGTGGGTGGGTGGGTGCACGCATGTGTATCTCCTATGGCCCGGGGGGCCCTACCCTCCCTGGTATTCTAATTCCATCCAGGATTCCTGAGACAGTATTATGAGCAGGTCCACAGTTTCTGGCTTAGGTGATGAGTGCTCAAGACAGTAGCATATTTTACATTTGCGGATTGTGACACTGATGCTATTTCTGGAAAACTCTGCATCCAGTCGACCTTCTCAAGCTGTCTAAGACAAATGTATACTCTCCCTCGTTTTGTTTTAGTTTTGAAGTTTTTCAGAGGGAATCAAAAATCCTCTGTCCAAAATCCATCCAGAATTTGAGGAATTTCCAGAATTTCAGCAGCATGCTGAAAGACAGGTGCATCACTGGCCACAAAGGGCAGACACCAGCACCAAGCTCGTCTCATATCTGACCACGTCCGCTTCACGGAGCTGAATTTCTGGAAACATTTTTTTACTTAGTTCAGCATCAAAAACTCACTTCAAGTATGAAAAAGAAAGCTGGTCCAAAGAGCACGTGGTGCCTGTTACATAAGGTGAGGCAGGCGGTGCTCCACAGAGCTTGTATTTGCTTTGTAATTGTTCCATTAACTCAAGTTTGCAATATGCAAAGATTTAACCCAAACCGTCCAGGCAGGAACCGGGGCAATTTGACTGTGACAAGGCAGGAAACCCACAAAGGATGAAATAATCTGAATGCTCAGAAAACTTGTTTACAGAAAAGCTGAAAAGGCCAGAAAATTGATTAAACTAAAGGCCTGAAAAATGTGAGTAAATTAAGTCAGATGATCACCCAATGGGAAAAAATGAGGAATAAATAGTTTTACATCTCCATCATCCTAAAGATGAAAAAGTCAGAGAAACCTCAATTGTATATTCTGCCGGGAATATTCACTAATCCATTAATCAAATTAATTAATTGAGTGAATACTTTGTTGGGCACCTACTATGTGCCAGACAGGTGCCTGGGAACAGCCCACTGAACAGATATAGACTCTGCTCTCATAGAGTTTATATGTAAGTGAGGTACATGAGGGTTCTCACGAGAAACAGGACCAAAAGGGTGTGTGTCTGAGAGAGAGAGAGAGAGTTGGGGGAGAGACTCGGCAAGTCCAAAATCTTATAGGATAGGCCACCAGGCTGGAGAGTCAGGAAGAATTTCAGTTCATGTCCAAAGACAGTGTGGAAGCAGAATTTCCTTTTCCTCAGGGGAGCCCAGTCTCTAGGCTGTTAAGGTGTTCAACTGATTGGATGAAGCCCACCCACATTAGGGAGGGTAATCTGCTTTACTCTAAGTCTACCACTTTAAATGTTAATCTCATCAAAAAACAACAGCACCAAAAAACAAAAACAGAAACAAAAAACGCCTTCACAAAAACATCCAGGAGAATGTTTGAGCCGATGTCTGAGCTCACGTCTGAGTTCACGATGACACATGAAATGAAGTATCACATGCAGGGAGATGAATAACCAGAGAAATAGGCACCCTGCCCCGGAGGGATACGAGCTGGGTGAAGCAATAAAGCAAGCTTAGGGGGCATGAAGAGTTTGAAAAGTGGGGCAGGGCTGCGTTAGAAAGCGTGGTCCGGAAAGGCCACAGAAAGAGAGGATGTTTGCGCACCGCCCTGAAGGGAATGTGGGTAAGAGCTGGCTTTCGGGAAAGGGTTTTCCAGGAGGGTCATACCCAGAAGAACTTGGCCTGACCAAAATGGGGAAGAACCTCAGGTCCTCAGCAAGACCATCATTAGCAACTAGCTGTGAAGATAAATAAAGATCTCCGTCTCCCGAGCCGCACAAGTCACTCGTATCTTGCCGATGGAAGGCATGGCGGGATTATATGGCCAACCTTAACCCTAGATGCCACAGTCTCGTGGACTCCTAGAATGTCAGAGCAGGGGAGGGACCTGTTCAGCTGCAAGATAGATTTTTTAAAAAATGGACCGTCGTGGGTCTTTTGTTATCTACAGGATGTTAATATTTTCTGCAAGTCCGAAAATGTGCTTCTCTCTCTCCTGACTCACCCATGAAAATGTGAAGTGAGAGCGCCAGGCCCCCTAGGCCGATTTTCCCTTTCCCCCAGTACGTGTACCTGGCCTGTTACAAAGTTCCTTAATGTGTATCTCTCCTTGAGATAGTTACAAGAAGCCTTTGCATGAGGAATTCTTATTGTCTTATTTTACCGGTGAGGAAGCTGAGCACAGAGTACAGGAAATGACTTGTCCAATAATCCACAATGAGGAAAGGCCAGGGGAAAAGTCGGCACCTCTGACCCAGACCTGGGCTCTGTTTTAGGTTTGTAAATTAGTTTCCTAATTACTTCTATTCCATTTAGGTGCACAAACAACTCAATTTGTTTTCAGACGGTTAGTTGTTGGCAAGAAGCCTGAGTGTTAATTATACAAAGAATCTTTCATGGGGTGCCTGGGTGGCTCAGTCAGTTAAGCGTCTGCCTTTGGTTCAGGTCATGATCCCAGGGTCCTGGGATTGAGTCCTACACTGGGCTCTTTGCTCAGTGGGGAGTCTGCTTCTCCTTCTCCCACTCCCTCTGCTTGTGTTCCCTCTCTCACTGTCTCTCTCTGTCAAATAAATAAATAAATCTTAAAAAAAAAAAAAAAGAAGAACCTTCAAAGCAAATGCATATTTTGGGTCTGGCAGGTACTCTCTGAGAACCAGAAATCAGTCCCAAGTATAAGAAGGCTGCAGCAGGGCCCCAAGGCTAGGGTTCTGGCTAGCACGGAAGGGATGTGGAAACTTTGCACCCCTGGTTTGCAGCTCAGAACTAAGTGGGGTTTACACTTCCCTTCCTCCAATCCATGTGCTGAGTTTCTGAGAACAGCCACGACGCCTGCTGGGACTGCAGTCTCTTGCAGGGGTGGGGGTCTGAAATGCACAAATAGAAACCCAAGTCTTCCTAGACTAGAATCTCGGCACTGGCTCCCTTTGAAACTCGGTGACAGAGCTGCAGGAGAGTTTGTCCCTTGTATCAGTTGATGAGGAACTGAGAGAATAACTGGATATTCATTAGCTATCTGCATCAGGAATGGGTCACTTTTCAGAGCCAACCAGCTCACTCAATACAAGAAATGAAGCAGGCAGAGCCAGACCCAAAAATTGAAGACCGCCCCCCCCCCCATGTACCTCACCCTGGGGTGACAAGCTGTCCGCCCGGTCCTAGGACTCGAAAGCGCTGGAGCTCTCACGTGGCAGTTACAAATAGAGTAAATAGAGTAACATCTCAGTGCCTGAATTAAGCAAACTATTGGAAGAAGTTGAGACTACCTTTGGATTACACCAAAGAATCAATTGCCTTGAGAGATGAGCTAGGATTTGAAAAGGAAGTAAAAAAAAAAAAAAAATCACTTTTTTTTCCTGTTCTTATTGAAGCTCGAAGCAAACAGGAAAATAATTTTTAAAAGCAGCAAATTTAAAAAAAAGAACCAGACACGAGCCAGTGAAAAATGCAAGAATGGTAAGAATGACTAACAGGTGCCTGAAGAGTCAGTGAATTTTTTCAAGACTGAGCCCTGTCCTCTGCTGCTGAGGACACAAATGAAGAAATGAAGCCCAGCAAATTCTTCTTGCTTGCTTGCTGTTTGGACTCTTAGTTATTTAGAACATGTAAGAAGAAAGAAATTCTAAAAGGACCATTTCCAACTATGAAAGGCATCTCTACTGTATGTGTGTCAAATGTAAGGAAACAGTAGTGACATTTCGTAGTAGGTGCATTATTGAAACACTGAAATACAGAGAAATAAAAGAAATTTTTCTACATGAAAGAGATGAGTGAAGATTCCATTCCTTCTTATTTTTTTCAAAATGTGTAAATAAAAATACACATGGTAATCTTATGCCTGGAATGTCTTCTTTCTTTCTTAAGGCCAGTTTCTGGGAAGACCAGGAGAGACAGAGCTGAGGAGGTGGGCATAAGGGACTGGCTAGACCTCTGAGTGATCAAGCAATACATAAAAGAAAATGAGGGAATCTAGAAAATTCTACCTGGGATTAGATTTTGAGTTTGGTGCTAGAGTTAGAAAAATAGTCTTCAAAACTGTGGCAGACCTCAGAATCATGTAGTGATGCATTAAAGAAAAAAAAAATAGTGCAGGTCCCACAACAGACATAGAATCCGGGTCTCTGAGATCATCTTCAGCAAGTCCTCAGTTCTGTGGATGCTCACCAAAGTTGGAGACAGCCCAGCTGGAGGAAGATCTGAGGGCAGCAAGCCACTGTATTTACGAGTGAGGAGTCGAAGAGGTTTACAGACCAACAGCCTCTGTGGTCTGCACTTGCAAATCAGAAGTTGACTTCTCATGGAGAAGTAATGACCCTTCCCAAAAACAGGCCTGAAGGAAGAGAAGTCATCTTTGGTGGAGGAAACAGATAGTGGGAGGGCTACAAAATCCTAAACTAGAGCCTAGAGTCCTTCACTGCCCCGGGGCGTGGGGGGCAAAGAAGTAGCACAGGACCGAGGTGTCCATGTGTCATAGGCAATAGGGGAGGAGAGGCTCGTCGAAATGGAGAGGGCCACCTGGACCAAAGGGCAGGCAAGTGCGGGCAATGTGGCATGTGGGCCCACGTCTTCCATTTTTCAAGAGAAACCAAAATATGGCAACTAATATTAAAAATAGGTACTTACATATATATTTACTGTATGTATCAATACCATGAAGGCTAAAAAAAACCAAAACAAAACATAGTTTGGGGCAGTGTCTGCTCAGTGTTTGAAATCAGGCCTACATCTATTAAGACACCCATATGAAAAAACAGTCTACTTCGACCAAGGATTCTCTTGTGAGGATGGCTAAAAACCAAAGCTCAGTCATCAGCAAGGGGCAAGAGCATAATCTAGTGGGCTCTGAGTACATATTCTCTTTCTCTTTCTCTCCCAAGATCTCTGGCCTCCGAAATCAAAAGTATCGATGTTTCTCACATCTTATATTTTTATGGCCTCCCGGAACACAGAAGTGAGTAAATCTAGAATCTTGCATGACTTGACCAAAGGACAGTCTGTCATTAATGACTCCATGGCCAAGTTTATTCTAATTTTGCAAGTTTATCCCAGTTTGCAGCTTAACCAAACCTACAGTAAGCTTGCTTGCCTCACTGGGCTGAGGATATCTGCCCAGTGAGCCGCAGTCAGATTTGCTGATTTATTAGGCTGGCCTTGCTCAAAATGCCTAAATCCACAGTAAATTCACTATCATCCTTACACTTAGTGAAACTTGGGCCAGTTGCCCAACATAGACCGCCGTTTCTAAATGCCCAAGATGGGAGTGGCTTGGTTGCACAAAAGTCCATTCCAAAACAAGAAGGGAGAAGAGATCAAAGGGAAGAATTAGCTCATTCCCTTCTAGGGAAGGTGGAGCTACCAAACCTACAATGATCAGTTTCTTTCTAATTAGAGCTTTACTACTTATATCTCACTTCAAAGAAAACAGAGGTTGGCAAGTAGATTGAATTATTTGTTCCTGCTTAAGACTGAATTCAAGAGACTTACTTAAGAAGCTAAAGGGGCTTTGTTTCTCTTTTTAAAGCAAGGGTCTTCCAGAAAATGAAAAGGACTTTCTAGGTAGTTAAATGCTGTTTTCCCACTTTTGTGAACAGATCCACATAGATAGCAAAAAGAATACAAGACTATGCACTAAGATACTGACAATGGTTCTACAAATAATTTTTTTTTTGGTAATAAGATATATATAGACAGATTCCAGTACAGTTAGAAATGGGTTTCTTTAAAATAATAATTTAAAAAAAGAATAAATAAAATAATAAATGATAAGAATTCTAGAAATTCAAGTTCATTAAATAAATGCCCTCTCTGTAAATGCATCCAATAAAAATTATAAAATAAAAATTCTGTCCCTGAGAAATGACAGAAAGCAGACTATAAACAGCACTGAATAAACATGCAATTATGTACCAGTATAGACAAAACTAAGAGGCCGTAAGTAAAATACAAAATGCTTGTTTTAGGTGATAAAATAAGGAACGACTTTATTTTTTCAAGAATTACTTTTTATTTCACATCATTCACATCTCTCTTTATATCTATTTAAAGAGAAGAAAGAGATTCACTGTCCTAAATTTGGTTTCGACTTGCTTTTTATTTCTGGATCCACTTTTTATGTGTGCCCTTTTATTATTTTTCATCATAAGGTAATAGTCTTCAGTACCTATTACGAAACATGTGCTCACTGAGGGACTTTTGGGACCCAAGATAATTTACCAAAAGTCACTTTGCCCACTAGGGGTTTTCAAGTGGGGGATTTCCTTATTCAGGTTTTTAAACATCTCTTAAATGTTGGCTATTTTCTCCAACTGCTATTTGTATTATAGTCATCTGGTTTCCCTTTAGCATTCTGGAAGCCTTCCGGAGAGATTCCTTTGAGATACTGACAGGTCCACTGTAAGAGCAATTTAGAAGTAAATTACTTGCCTAGCATCCCAGAGAGACTTATATCCAAATCCTGGGTCCCCTTTGCCTCTCACTATTTCACCTTTCCCCCTCTAAACTTACGGCGAGAAATAAAACCTCTTTTTCTGAATTAAACTCTCATTTACCACTAGGGGTGGTAACCGTACGTCAGAGATGGACACCAGGAGACTTTCTTCATCTCCCTGTGGCCCTGCTGGGCTCCAGTACCAATTTCATTTCTGCCTCCCCATCTTGCCATCACTTTCAAATTGGTGTTTTTCCCTCCCTCCAGGTTGTTATTGTTTTAGATTACATTTCATAATTTTGTTTCAGTTTAAAAACTTTTCAAGTCCTTTGTGATAGAAGTAAAACCCATTAAAAAAAAAACAAACAACCATTTCATGTTTCTGAGGCCGGTTTAAGGAAAATGATTAAATTAGACATTAAACAGCCGTTCTTTGTCCACTGAAAATCTTCCATAGGATTAGTTATAAATACACTGGTTTCTTTCCAAATGCCCTCTCCTTTCCCTTGGCCATAAATTGAAGACAACTGCTTTAAGAAATGGAGAAGAAACTGAGTTTGTAGTAACTGCCTGACCACAGACCTCAACAGTATAAATAAAAACCTATCAGAGCCATGTGCTGAAAGAAAGAAAGAAAGAAAGAAAGAAAGAAAGAAAGAAAGAAAGAAAGAAAGAAAAGAAGGAAAGAAGGAAGCATTGCCCACAGCTACTTCTCACACAAATTTCTATATTAGGTCTGACTCTTTTTCAAAGTCTCCTTTAGACATTTGTGAGTTGTTTGAGGACTTCAGACATTTCTTGTAGGTATCATAGACACAACAGGTAGAAACTATAGGAGAGAAAAGGGAAGGCGAAGGGGGTGGAAAGAAGAGAAGCACAGAAGGAAGAGACAACAGGAGGCAACAAAGACAAGGGCACCAGAGCCCAACAAGAGGGACAGGAGAATGAGATGCCTCCGCCACCTACTTGCAGCTCACTCACCTGGTCAAACAAAACCTGCATCTGTGTTCCCTGTAATTAACACTCCCACCCCCATTTGATTATTCTCGCTACTACTAAGTAAGCACTGCTAAGTGCAAAGGCACAAAAGCGAGTGTTTGTGGGAGACACACCAGATGACACGACAGACAGCGTGGAAACTTCTTTAAGAATACAGGTGTGCTATTGGGCAAGTGGTGGGTGCAAGGCAGGATTCTGTGTAACTCAATTTAAGAGTCACGTTAGAGGGGCAAAATGGAATATACCCCACAAAATGTAGACAGTGATTATCTAAGTGATAGGGTTATGTCAGATTTGTTTTCAGAAGAAAGAATTTTGTCTGCATTTATAAATTTTGTTTAATAAACCTTAAATTTCTTAATCTCCTAGGCCATATATTATATGTAAACATAATAAACAAATATTTAACTTATTACAGATATTATAATAAGTATATACAAATAATTACATATGCACACGCGTGTGTGCGCATGTGCATTCTTTCAGAAAAAACAAAGTGTCCTTGGTGCTTTAAATATGCATTTCTGGCAAAGATGCTAAGTTAAACAAGTGTAACTCCCTCTGGGCTTTGATAATTTTCCTACGCGGACTAGTACTTCAGTCCCAAGAACTGAGAGAGATTTTTCAAAGCAACCAACACTGTAATAATGCAATGGTTAAGGATAGGACAAAAAGAGCGTGGTCTGAGTTGTACAAATAGTTCGATTTTGAATCTTAAATTTTCTCTAAGAGTTTCTAAAGGAACCCAGATATTGCACATTACTTCCAAAAGAGTCAGTGAGATTTTTTTTCTCTCCCCTCCCCGCCCCCGCCGCCATGGTAAGATGGTTCCGGGCACCACTGCCTCTTTCCTTTCAACTTTTGGTGTAGTCTGGAAGCCAGGTGCCATCAAAAAACGTGCCTGGACTTTGGAAATAGGTCTAAGTCAAGTCCCAGCTCTGCCACTTAACACTAGCTGTGTGATCTCAGCTGAAGGACTTGAGCTTTCTGGCCTCCATTTCGCCATCTGTGAAATAGAGATGAAGAAGGCATCTCCCTCACCCCGCGGCTGCTGTGACTTTAGCCTGAGGTGGCCTTGATACACGGTCCCATCACGCTGCTCGGAACTTGGGGTCGGTCCCCATAAAATGAAAATCCACGGACTCTCGGGGGCTTCGGCACTCAAATGAACCGAGTCTCTTGGATTGGCCACCAAGCTGACAGTTGTGCGCTAGGGACTCTCCCCAAGAGGGGCGCTGCGGCCCAGGCTTCCCGGCCAAGTGCAGGTGCGCGGGGGCGCGCGCGCCCGGAGCAGGTACCACCGCCCGAGCCGCGAGGCCCGGATTCCCCCGCGTCCTGGGCACAGAAGCCACCGCAGGGGTGCGAGCGAGGGAGACGGCGAGAAGAGAAGGCAAGACAAGACAAACCTGAGTCAGTGACTCACAGTCTTAAGGAGAAGTATTCCCGGAAGGGAAACAAGAACAGTTTCTTTTTCTGCGTGGTGATAAGAAGGTAAACAAGCCTCCAGAGGCTCATTCAGCCCCAAGATAACTTTTTCGAGAAAGAAACGGTTTGATGTGAAGCCTCAACTTTCCCCACTGCCCGGGGGCCGCTTTCTTCCCTAGATCTGAGAGCGAGTGGAAAATGTGCGCTAGGGAGCGGCCGGCGGTCCCCCCGGGGCTCCGTCCCCAACACCCCCCCCCCAACTCCCGGGCGCGCACACCCACCCGCCCCGGAGCCGACGTGCGGCCGGACACGCAGCGCTGCCCGCGAAGTCCCCCTCCTCTCCCGGCCCGGCCCGCGCCCCGCACAGCCGTCTCCGGGGAGGGGCGTCGGGAGGGAGCGGCTCCCAGACCCCGCGGGCAGGGAGAGCCCCAGCCGCCCGCCCGCGCCGGGCAGGAGCCGACTCACCAGACACGGGATGGCCCAGGTCCCCCACATGGTTGCGGAGCGCCCCGCCGGAGGGCCAGCGCCTCTGCGCCTGCGAGCGCGACCGGCCACCAGCCCTGGGAGGAGTGCCAGCCGCGTGGCCCCTCCCCGAGCCCCGCCGGCCCGGGAGTCAGCTGCCCCACCCGACCCGCCCCGGCCGCTCTTCCCGCTCCCCGGAAGTCTCGGAGCACCTGCGCGGGCTCCGCCGGTGGGCCCCGGGGCCGGAACGCAGGGGGAAGCCCGGCCGGGGAGCGCCCGGGAAGGGGGGGCGGAAGGGGCGCCCTCGGACGGCGCAGCCCGGCGCGGGCCAGAGGGTGGGGGTGGGGGCGGCCGTCAGGCTTTGTTGCACAAACGGGCATTCCCCGTGCGGAGGCGTTTCCGCGGGCGGCTGGCGGGCGGGGTTCAGGTGAGGACCCCGGGAGCGGGCTCGCTGTCCTTCGGACACTGTGGTGACGCGCACCCTGGGAAGCTGCGGGGAGCCCCCCGCGTCCTTCTGCGCGCCCGAGCCTGGGCCGCTCGCTGGGAACGTGCGGGGAAGACCCAGCCCTGTCAGCTCGCGAGTTGTACCAAGTGACAGCCCTCGGACTCCTGTACCAAGTGACAGTCGTCCAAGGAAAGGTTCAGATATGGCGCTCTGGGGATTCTGAAGTGGAGGGGGATCCCTTCACCTGTATCACTCAAGAGGAGGACAAAGCTAGCGAGTTAGGGCCCGTCACGCAGCTCCAGCCGCATTAAATGTTCACGATGACTCCCCCTTTGTTACTCATTATTTCCTGGCCAATTTTCGTTTTTAAAGAAGTTGTAATTCTTTAGTACTTGGGTTAATGCGGCTCAAAGCCACTATTGTTTTGGAAAAATAGACCTGTCTGTTCAGATGGTTTTGCAAGAATTCTACGGAAGGGAAGTTTGTATAATGACACAGCTAAAGTGTGATTCTGAAAGCAGTTCCCAGGCCGGGTCAGGAGTGAAGTACTCAGTGTTTCTTTACAACCTTGGTCAAGTTCTGAGCCTCGATCAGCTGCCTCTCTTCCTTCTTCCTTCCGGTTGGGTTCATCCCATCAGGAACACTCCATGCCTCTTTCCTTTGGCGCGCTCACTTCTCTCTAGCTTCTATTGGAAGATTTTTTCAGGCCCCCAAAGCCTGGGGTAAGTCACCCTCTTGGGGGCCTTCACTCACCTTAGGGTTTGCACTGCACTTAAGGCCCAGACTTGTAGGGGTGGATTTGCTTGTTTCTGCCTCACCTTGCAGTTTTGGGTAAGTCCTGCGCAGACCCTGGTGGGCCAGGCCCCTTCCTGCCACTGTTCTGACACTGAACAGACACAAAAAAAGTGAATGGGGGTGGGAGGTGGCATATAGGGGACTCTTAGCAAAAACATTCTTAAATAAAAAGTTCATTGAAATAAACAAAAAAAATACCATAAGAAGGAGGGAGGAAAGGAGAGAGAAAGAGAGAAGACAATTGATAAAATCAACATCTCCTGAGTGTGAATTATGAGCCAGAAACTTTCATATATGGTTCTCCCTTACTTAATATTGATCATTTTAGTCCAGGGATGTGGGTGCTTATTAAACTAACTTTACAAATAAAGCACTGTGGCCAAAAAAGTTTAAGCAACATTGGCAAAGTTGGTTAGTTAATCAATAGCAGAGCCAGGAATGAAACAGGTATTTTTGGTCCTGCTCTTTCTACCCACCCCACCCTCAACCCCTACCCCAGCAATTACCCTCAGCTTCAATGAGATAGTAATAGGTGCTTTGTGGGGAGACGTGTGTTTCATGGCCAAATGATTTTAGGATATTCTAGATTTTAAAAAATTTAAACAGGTCTCTTAACCAAGACTTCTCAGAGCCTTTACTATGCTAATATGTATTGCCTAGAGGGGGTTTTGATACAGACTGTTGCCCATGCTTGTTTGTCTTCTTAGCGGATCCTTTCAAGAACACCTGCTGGATGAACACCTCACGAATGCTGGTGTTCTAGGCAAAGCCGTTTGGACATTTCTAAAGGTTATTTTTATTTTAACAACACATTCCTAAGGGCCTCCAAGCCTTCAGGGGCAAAGAAATACAATTTTAATAGTAGAATTTCAGGCCCTCTACCAGATGTGGGAGATGTTTTGGACAATCATCCTGGTTTCACTCAAACCATACCATATAGGTTAAAGCTTGTTTCTTCTCCTCTAAAGATAGCCTTGCCACTCAACAGCTCATGCTGAATAACACTTAAACACGTATCTGACTATAGAAAAACCTGGGGGGAAAGAAAACCTTCAATACCTCTTCACCACCAAAACTACTTTTATTCTTTCTCCCCATGGGCTTGATGTTTTAAAAATTGTTGTCAACCAAATTGCTCTTACCAAATAGCAATAAGTTGATTGTAATAGTTCCCAACTGTAGTGAGCATCCCTGATCCTTTATCTACGTGTTTTCTCCTTCTTCCTAGTAATAGCACTTCCAAGTTGCCTTTAGAAAAATTGCCGCTCTTTCTTCTTTTCAACTATTTGATGTGGGTGACTGTATTAGTCAGAGTTCTCAAGAACAACAGAAGCAATAGGAGATAGCTATCTATCTAGTGAGAGAGAGATGTATTTTAAGGAACTGGTTTATGTAATTATAAAGCCTGGCTAGTCCAAAGTCTGCAAGGTAAGCTGGCAGGCTGGGGCCCCAGGGAAGAAGCGTGGTTTGAATCGAAAGGCAGTCTGCTGGCCGAATTCCCTCTCTTTCTCAGGGGAAGGCCTTCAACTGATTGGATGAGGCCCACCCACATTATGGAGAGCGCAGCTTTACTCACAGTCTACGGATTTAAGTATTCATGGCATCTAAAAATACCTTTCCAGAAACATCTAGAATGGTACCAAATAGTTGGGTCCTGTAGCCTCCCCAGGTTGACACATAATTAACCATCCTCCGGCCTGTGTGTGTGTGTATGTAGGTGGGAGGAGGGAGGGGGCAGGGAACTCCATTTGGTTGAGGCAACCAGCCCATCACATTCTGTTGGCATGAACCCTGTGACCTTTGCTGAAAACAGGAGGACACAAACCCTTTTTCCTCTCCACTTGAAGTGGGAATATGTGACGGAAGGAACTGATGTGGTCGTGAAGAGAGCTTGTGGACCTGCCAGGGCTGAAGGCAGAGTCAACTCCTGCAGAGCAGAAACCACGCTGAGAAGCGGAGCCTGGTTGGGTCGCCTGAATCTTGGATTGATTTTGGAGCACCCAGTTATCCAACTCCGTACATTCTCGATGTTTGCTTAAGCCAGATTCTTGCAACTAAAGGATCCTGAATGACGTATCATCAGAGCTTATGATCAGCATAAGTCCTCTGGCACCCAAATTAGTTGTTACAAATTAACTGTTAACATTTTCAGCTGCAGATCAGGATAATGGCCTAAAGCAGCCTTTGGAGATGTAGACGTTCCATGCCACCAAAGCACTTTCTACCAGTAGAGGGCCCCAAATACCACATCAGGCAAGTGACAAAACTGCTGTTTCTCTCAATTAATGGAAATATATTTTGGTTCTTGGGCGAGGGAAGAGAGAGGTAATCCGTGAACTGGATCACATAGACATTTTCGTGTCCCTGAGAACATATTAGTTCTTACAGGGTTAAAGAAATAACAGATGCACAGCTCCTGCCATGCTCAATGAATACCAGTTAATATTTTCCCGTTGCCCTTCCTAAATGAGGTGTGCAGGTTGCTAATTTGGGGTCAAAGTTCAGATGGAGAGAAATACAAGTTAAATGGCTTGCAGGGCCTGTCCCTCACTACTTCCTGTAGGAATGTGTTCACGGGCCTGAAAGTGCAGCTCAAGGCAAAGTGCTTGGAGCCTGGGGGGACAGAGTCAGAAAGCTTGACCACAGAGATGTGAAACATGCTGTTCAAGCTCCCAAGTTCTCCCACTGAGAACTGTGGCATCGTAGCCTATCTCTTGAGCAAGAACCTGAAGACTGGATTAAAAGACATTTAGACAGTACTAGCCACGATGCAGGGAACATGTGGGCAACCAAGGGTTAGAGAAATAGCTCCTCCGTAGGCCTGGGTGTGACACGGTGGGGACAGTCCTCTCCTACTGTTTCTGCATGGGGCACCCTACAAGCACACTTGAGAAGCCTGATCACCTCTTGCTGTCCAGGACTAGCCCATGGCAAAATAGGGACCCCAAAACATTATATTGTAATATTACCGTAAATGGAAAATCCGCATTCCTTCCCACAGATAGAGGGTATCCATAAAAAGAAGTTGACAACTATTGAAATAAAATATTTGTCTGTGTGCCACTAGAAATCATTTCCCAAACCAGCCGGCGGTAAGGCCAAGGTACTTCTGGAGAAGTTGACTGAGGGAGCAGAAGTGCCTTCTGCCTGCTTTGATCTTCCAGCCTGCCCTCCGGTGACTGATGGGAAAAGACCCGCAGTCTGGGCCTCAGACCCTCCCCGGGGAGACTGGAAAGGAGGCGAGGTGCAGGAGCCCGAGGAGGTGTCACATGGCATGGGGGGAGGAGCAGTCATTGCACGGGGGGGTGGGGGGGTGGTGAGAATGGGGGAGACCCTCTACCAGGCACCCACCTTTCCCTGTTAGAAGGGCTGAGTCAGCTTAAGGGAGACGGTGGGGAAAGGGGAAAGTGAGTCCGGCGGAGCCAGAAGGAGAGGGAGCGGGGGTGTTGGAGGAGAGAGCTTTGTGGGGGGCGGGGTAAAGGGCTGGAGGCCAGTGGAGAGCACACATGACTTGCACAGAAGGGAGAAGTAGATGGTTTTCTGCACAAGGCAGTCTTAGTCAACGAATGCAGAATAGTGACAAGGATAGGCCCATGGATTTAAATCCTACCTGGGAGAAGCTTTGCCTAATAATTTAACGTCTCTCGGCCTCAATTTAACATAAACCTTTTGAGTAGCGATGATTTGCTTGGGAACTGATCTTGCGTTTTATAATTTCATTTTCTTTTATTTTTGCAATTTGCAAATGGTCCACTCCAGACTCTGTGGGTCACCAATACATTTGTAGGTGACA